GAGCCTCACAGGACGACCCTTTTGGGCCGTCTTGGGCCCTCTTGGGTCTCTCTTGGGCTGTCTTGGGGCTCGGGGGCGTCTGGGGCACTGTGAAAACGTACGTTGTACAACGGGAGTGGGCCGATTTTTGCCTCTTGAAGGCCCTCTTCGGCCAGCTTCAAACCATCTCGGGCCCTCTTGAGGCGCTCTTGGACGTCTTGGGGCCCCCTTGGGCCTCGCTGAGGCTGTCGGACAGCGTCGCCGCCGTCGGCGTGGCCGTCGTCGTCGTCGCCGTCGATCATCGATCGGCGGCGTCGACTGTTGTCATCGTCGTCGATCGTCATCGGTCGTCGTCGTGGTCGTCGTCGTCGTCGTCGTGAATCACCGTCGCCGGTCGTCGTCTCCGATCGTCGATCGCCCTCGAGCCTCCTCCTCCTCTCTCCCCCCCTCCTCCCCTCCACTCCTCCTCCCCGCCTCGTCCTTCTCCTCTCCCTCTTCCTCCTCCCCCTCCTCCTCCTCCTCCTCCTCCTCCTCCTCCTCCTTCGCCCTCTCCGTCTCCTCCGCGCGGAAGAAATCCAACAACATTTCACGCAAATCAGCGAACTGTGGCCCTCTGGGAATTTTTCGATGTCATTTTAGGCCCCTTTGGGGCCGCCGTCCTGGGGCCCTCTTGGGCGTCCTGGGAACCCGGAAATCATGATCCCGGAGAAGCTTCTGGGAACATGATTTCGAACGAGGCCCTCTTGGGCTTCCCTAAGGCCGTCTTGGGGGCCTCCTGGGCCGGCTTTGGGGCCTTTGGGGCCGTCTTGGGCTGTCTTGGGGCTCCTCGGGGGCCACTCTGAGGACGAAGCAAGCGAGTATGCTGAAATTGTACGTTTTACAAGAGGAATGGGTAAAGTTATGCCTCTTGAAGGCCCTCTTGGGGCCCTCTTCGGCCATCTTCAAGCCATCTCGGGCCCTCTTGGGGCGGTTTTGGACGTCTTGGGGCCCTCTGGGGCCTCGATGAGGCTGTCTTGTGTGCCTCTTGGGCTGTCACGCGGGCAGCGTCGCCGCCGTCGGCGTGGCCGTCGTCGTCGCCGTCGATCGTCGATCGGCGGCGTCGACTGTTGTCATCGTCGTCGATCGTCGTCGTCGTCGGTCGTCGACCGTCGTCGATCGTCGTCGTCGTCGTCATCGTCGTCGTCGTCGTCAATCACCGTCGCCGGTCGTCGTCGCCGATCGTCGATCGCCCTCGAGCCTCCTCCTCTCTCCCCCCCTCCTCCCCTCCACTCCTCCTCCCTGCCTCCTCCTCCTTCTCCTCTCCTCCTCCTCCTCCTCCTCCTCCTCCTCCTCCTCCTTCGCCCTCTCCGTCTCCTCTGCGCGGAAGAAATCCAACAACATCTCACGCAAATCAGCGAACTGTGGCCATCCGGGCCTTTTTGAAGGTCCTTTTACGGCCCTTTTGGGGCCGTCCTGGGGCCCTCTTGGGCGTCCTAGAAACCTGGAAATCATGTTCCCAGGAGAGGCTTCCGGGAACATGATTTCGAACGAGGCCCTCTTGGGCCTTCCTGAGGCCGTCTTGGGGGCCTCCTGGGCCGGCTTTGGGGCCTCTTGGGCCGTCTTGGGGGGGTTCCGTGAGCCTCACAGGACGACCCGTTTGGGCCGTCGTCGGCCCTCTTGGGTCTCACTTGGGCTGTCTTGGGGCTCGGGGGCGTCTGGGGCACTGTGAGGACCAAGCAAACGAGTATGCTGAAAATGTATGCTTTACGAATGGAAATAGGCCGGTGTTTGCCACTTGAAGACCCTCTTGGGGCCCTCTTCGGCCATCTGCAAGCCATCTCGGGCCCTGTTGGGGCGCTCTTGAGCGTCTTGGGGCCCTCTTGGGCCTCGCTCGGGCTGTCTTGTGGGTCTCTTGGGCTGTCTTTGGGGCCTCATGGGCCGTCTTGGGCGGGTTCGTGGACCCCACAGGACGCCCGGGGCGGCCATGCCAACCGGTGGCACCACCCCACCCCCGCCCCCGGGCCCCGTCCGTCTGTCCTACTGCTCCTCTCCAAACCCTCGTTCCCTAACCTCCCGATCATGTTCCCGGACCCCCGTCCCTTCCCCCCAGAGCACCGCAGCAGTAGGAAAGCGTTCCGAAACGGTGAGAAATCATGTTCCCGGAAAGCGTTCAAGAATATGAATCGCACGTCGTCCAAGGCGCCTCGGAAGGCGCAGAATACTCCTCCAAGGCGCGGAATCATGTTCCCGGACCGCCTTCCGGAACATGATGGGGACGACCTCCTGAGGGCCTCCAGTGGGCCTCTTTGGGGCCTCTCGGAGGCCTGTGGGGCTCTCCTGGAGGCGTCTTGGGGCGCGCTCAGGGCCATTTTTGGGCATCTTGGGGGCCTCTGGGGGCCTTCGGGGAGGCTCTTGGGGGCCTCTTTGGGGCCTCTTGGGGCCTCGCGGGGCCCTCTTGGGGACCGCTGGGCTCGCTTAGGCAGTCTTGAAGCCCTGTCGGGGCACTCCTGGAACCGTCTTGGGCGGCTCCTGGGCCATCTTGGGGCTCTCCTGGGCCGTCTTGGGACGATTTTGGGGTCTCTTGGGCCGTCTTGGGGCGGTCTTGGGGGCCTCTTCGGCCGTCTTGGAGCGGTTTTGGGAGACTCTTGGACGGCATTGGAGCGTCGGAACCCCGAAAAAGCGAGAAGGCCAAAAACCTTGAAAAAACAATAAAAATCAACGATGTTGGCTTGTCGGGGCTCTCTTGGGAGGCCTCTTGGGATGCCTTCGGGGCCTCATGGAGCTCTCTTGGAACGTCTTCGGGCCTTCCTGGCCATTCCTGAGGCTATCTATGCGCGTCTTGGAGCGCTCGCGGGCCGTCTTGGGCGGTCTCGAACTGTTCCTGGCGGTCCCAGGGGCCCTCCGGGACGCTTCGGACGCTCCCGGGGGCGCCCTGCACCCCCCATGGAGATGACAGGCACCGCCCCGGGGCCCTACTCCGATATATATATATATATATATATATATATATATATATATATACACACATACACATACATACATACATGCATGCATGCATGCATGCATGCATGCATGCATGCATGCATGCATGCATGCATGCATGCATGCATGCATACATACATACATACATACATACATACATACATACATACATACATACATACATACATACATACATACATACATACATACACACACATACATATAGATAGATAGATCTCTATACATATATATAGATGTATATATATATATAGATGCACACAGACACACATACATATAATAGAGAGAGGGGGCACAAAAATAATCGGAAAAAAAACAAAACACCAAAAAAATAACAAAAACAACAAAGAACGAGAGAGAGAGAGAGAAAGAGAGAGAGAGAGAGAGAGAAGAGTAGGCTGGGGGGGGCCGGGCCAGTGCCTTTTACCCCGCATGGGCGCCCCCCGGGGGTTCTGGGGGGATCCCAGAGTTCCCGAGACGGCCCGGGCCCGCCCCGCAACGGGCCGCGACATGCGAAGGGGGCCCCCCGGGGGTGCTGGAGACGATCCGAAAAGGCTCTGAAAACGCCCCAGATGCCCTCAAGACGGCCGACGAGGACCCCAACACGCTCCAGGACAGCCTCAAGAGGCTCCCCAAGGGGGCCCCGGGAGGCAAAGCTCGGTGCTTCCTCTGCAACCCGCTGTGTACCGATCACCTTGATGTCGCGGTGTATGCGCAGCGGCGCCAGAGACGAACCGAGGCTGAATGCAGCCCCGCTCCTCGGTCCGCTCCGACTCCAGTGTCCTAGCACGTGAAGCACGTAGCCACCAAGACAGACTATGGAGTCGGCATCTCTCGGTTGATTCGCGTTTTTGGGGAGGCCGTTCCTTTATGCCACCAGTCGGGGTACCCGAAGCGTAGCGGGGGAGGTATGGAGTAGACTGATGAATATGAAGGGTTCATGGTTGGTGGGAGGACGCCGACATCGACAGGTAGCGATTTCGTGGGGGCGTATAGACTTGGCGTTTTCTCTGCGTTCAGCTCTACCCTCGGTGAGGGACCAGTTTAAGAACAATATCCTCGGTGAGGGCAAGGGGCATTGTGACATTGGCCTCTTCGCGATGTCCCTCGGAGAGGCTTACGGGTGGTGGTGGCGGCGGTGAATCGGAGGTATTGCGTCAGGCGGAGGGCATGAAAACTAGAACCGGTAACAGCGAATCCGCAGGCCAGCTATTTGGCATGGCCAGCCTGACACATGCTCTGCCCGCTGCTTGTCACAAAGGGTCCTGCGAAACAAACCCGAAACAATGTTGCAAAAAGCACGTCGGTGCTGGGGCCGAGGAGATTCAGGGTGGACCGAAAAGCACCGTGCTGCAGCCCAAGAATTGCCGCGCGCTCCTGATTTCACAGACGCTCTTACCTGCACCGCCTCAGGCCAGCCAGCGCAGTCCCGTGCCAGCCTAGCTGTTAGCTTGCACATGTTTTGATCCGTACCTGACTCCTGGCTAAACATGGTGGGAGGGGGTCGATGATGGGGTGGGAGGTGGTGGTGGTGGTTGGGGACGTTCCTTGCTTCACCTGGCCCTGCAGCATACCCTGGACGCTCCACTTGTCCGTTCTTCTGCAGCCGAGAGGCGCCTTCCTGTATTCCACTTTGTTGCAGTGCACAGGCCTGCCGCTATTTTCTTACCACTGACGCTTCAGGCTCTGTGCTTGATAGCGCAACGTCAAAGAGGAGGAGAAGGAGGAGGAGGAGGAGGAAGAGGCCTCGCGCGCCGCCGAGCCCTGGTGGCCACTCGTCCCAAAGGCAGACGAGTACCAGGACCACGGCAGGGAGGTGGACGAGGAGGGGGAAGAGGAGGGGCAGGAGGGGAGCAGGGGGAGGGGGAAGAATTTGGGGAGGGCGCGGAGGCGGAGAAGGAGGAGGAGGAGGAAGAGGAGGAGGAGGAGGAGGAGGAGGAGATGGAGAGGGAGAGGGCGGCGGAGGAGGAGGAGGTGGAGGAACAAAACGGGCCAGGGGCAGGGAGGAGGCGGAATGGGAGGCCTCGCGCGCCGCCGAGCTCCTCCTCACCTCCTTCTTCGGCTTCGCCTCCGGCGCCTCGACGTCGCCGAACCCGGCGCCGCGGGCCACGGCGGGGACGCGCGCGGGCTCCCCGAGCGGCCGCGGCGCGGCGAAGCACGCGGCCAGCGACCTGCGGGCGCGGCTGCGCCGCGCTCGGCGCCCGCGCGCGGCCAGGCGCTGCCAGAGGCCGCCGACGCCCCGGAAAAACGATGGGGCCGTCGTGCTCACCAAGGTCGGCGGCGAGCCCCGGGGCGAGCGCCGAGGGGGCGCAGGCCTTCTCGGAAGGCTCGGCAGGCCTCGGGCCTGCCGAGGCGCGCTTCCGAGCGTCTCCTCCGAGGGCGGAGGCGGCTTCTCGGAGGGCTGGGTGTGCGTTTTTTTTTGTTCCGAGGAGCCGCGCCGCCTTCGGAGGAGGCCTGCCCCCTCTCACTTCTCTGAAGGGGCCCAGGGACACACAAATAGATACACACAAATAAGAAGATTCCCCATATGTTCCCATATTTTCTGGGTTTCTGTCTTCCCGCCCATTGCCCATATTTTCCAATATTTTCTGGGGAGTCGACGATTAATTGTGTCTGTGTGTGTGTGTGTTTTCTCTCCTGATTTTCCCCCCCGCCCCCCAGGCTCGCCGCCGGCACAGGGAGCGCAAGAGTGGGGAGCGAGGGGCGTGTCTGGCCACGCGGCGAGCCTCGCCCGCGAGAGGCTTCCCCGACCTCTGTGTGCAATCGGCTCTGGTGAGTGGCCGTAAACGACCACGGCCCCCGGTGAGCATGTTCCGCTTCGACGGTTCGACATTGGACGGGAAGGGGGGGGGGAGGGGGGGCGTCTGGCTCCGGACCTCTGCTTCGCGCGCCTGTTTGCAACCGTGTGTCTCATGGTGGAGACCCCACCTGTTCGAAGCAGGCGCAAAAAACAGCCAAGATCTACTCAATGGGGTGAGGATGGGGTGCGAGGGCCCGCGCCGATCGGCAAAACTATTAATAAGAATACGATCACCTTCTGAACCCAGAGTGGCGCCCTTGTTTCAGCGTCCCGCCTGTACGCATGTCGAACTGCGCGGGGCCCGTGTTGGGGCTCCAGGAGCATCACGAAACGATCGAGCACGAGACCCCAGGAGCATGGTCGAGGGATCCACGGACCCCCGTCGAAAAAGCGAACAAACAAAAAACGAACCGAGGCCTTCATTTCGTATCCAACAATACGAACAGCCCGGGGAATGGCCAATAGTTAGTGCCAGGTCGGTTTTGCTATGGCCCCAGCTCCCGAACCAAAGCTCCAATCGCCGCCATCTAGGGGAACGCGGCGTCTCGAGCGTTTTGTCGTTTCGGCTATGACCCCAGAGCCCGGAAGCATGGGTTCTGCGCACCGCCGACTGCGAGAGAAGAACCGTCGCTTCGCTCGTTCTTCCGGGGTCTTGTGACCGTGTGGTGACGGACCGCACGGTGAGCTCGAAATCCCAAGCGGCCTCACCGTGCGGCCCGTCACCGCACGGTCCTGAGACCTCGGAGGCCTTGGTCGACCAAAACGTCCTCGGAAAACGACCCGAGTCCCAAAACCGTGCGGTGACCCCGCATGCCGACTGACTCACCACGACGCGGTGTGGTCACCACTCCGTGCGGGGGCCCAGGAATCTCTCAATGAGCATCGTTCGACCGACCCCCATCCCCATGGGCGTGGCCTGGGCCCCACTGGCCGCCTTATATACCCCTGGATGGGGATGTGGGCTGTCTCCTTCGGGTATCGAGGGGTAAATCACCGACTGGAGTGCTGAGATGACGAGGGTCTGGACGGGCAGTGAGATGTGGGTAGGGGTAGGCTAAATAAACGATAACCGACAGCCCTTGATAATAATCCCCGGATGATAATCAAGTTCGCGGTCTGGCGGGGATAATCAACGATATTCCTGGCGGGTGATGATGATGATGATGGTGATGATGATGATGATGATGATGATGATGATGATGATGATGATCAGGATGATGATGATCCTGGGCGCTCGTGTAGACTGACCATGTAGATACTGGCACAACCCTGACTCGACAGACCTCGAATCAGGGCGTTTGTGCGCTCGGACGTTGTAAATCTCGGCTCACAACTGACTCGACAGATCTCGAATCTGGGCGTTCGCGCGCACTGAACTTGTAAGTTGTGGCACAAAACTGACTCGACAGGCCCCGAGTCTGGGCGCTCGTGTAGTCTGACCTTGTAGACATTCGCACAAAACTGACCCGACAGATCTCGAGTCTGGGCGCTCGCGTAGACTGACCTTGTAGATCTAGCACAACACTGACCCGACAGATTTCGAGTCTCGCGGCTACAAAAGGCCCGCGCAGGAGAGGTCCGCGGCGCTCCTGGCCAAGAAACCTCTCTTGCGCACGACCTCGAACCGCTCGCCCACGCAGGCGCGGCGCCCTTTGGGGCCGCCCTCACGCGGGAGGGAGGCCCCTGGTGCAAGCCTGGGCGGCGGCACTTGCCTCCTCGACGGCGGCGCGCTTCAGCTCGACCGCCGCGGGGCCCTTGAACGGCTTGGACATGGCCTTGTTCTTGGCCTTGGCCGATGTCGCTGGCCCCCTTGAGCTTGTTGATCCACTCTTTGCCTCGGGCGCGCATCGCGTCGGCGCTCGCCGGCGCCCGTCGGCCCTCGCCTCGGATCTCGCGCAGGGCGCGTTCGAGCCAGCAGCTCGCCCACAGGCCGCAGAGCCAGGCGCCGCCCGGGAACATCTCGCTGCTCCTCGCAAGGCAAGTCTCGCCAGGGCTCATGGCGCCGAGCCTGCGGAGCATCCTCGCGGCCGCCTTAGGGGCCACGCGCAATCCCCGCCCCAGCGCCCCCCCCCCCCCCCCCCCGCGATTTCTGATGAGGAGGGCGGGGTTCGTTTCGTTCGGCAGCTCCCAAGCACAGCGAACACGACCTCCCCCCTCAGAGATCGCGGGGCGTAGGTGTGAGTTCGCACGTGGCCCCTCAGGCCTGCTTGGCGCTCTCGGGCGGCCGCTCGAGGGCGTCGCGGCACTCCGCCGCGGCGCCCCCGCCGATCCTCGAGACCATTGCGGGCGCTGCTACAAGTGCCCCCACGCCTGGGGCGCCTCCAGGATTCGCCCCAACTCGGAGCGAACAACCGAAGGCACCTTGGGGCAGGGACAACTGCAGCAACCACCGACCTCGAGGTAGGTGCAGTGAGCGGGCGCCTCGGGGCGCACGCAGATCAAGGCGCGCTGGGCCTCGTGGACACTTTCGGCCCAGCGCTTCTGCTCCTCGGGCTGCTGGGCGGCGGGCTCGCCCTCGCCCTGGCCCTCTCGAGCCTGGGCGACGGCCACCGCGGGCTCGACCGCCAGAATGATCTCCCGCGCGCTCCTCGATCTCGCCCGGCAGCGCGCGCGCTGTGCCCAGCTCGAGGGCGTAGCCCTCGACGATCTATCTGCTCGCAGCTCATGATCGCGCACCTCATGGCGAGCTCGGTGCAGCGAGCCAGTTTGACCTGGCGCCTGTGGAGCTTGCGCGGCTTGGGAAACTTGTAGCCCTGCTCGATCGTGACCTGTGGCGCTCGGGATTCACAGACACTCGTTAACTTCCGCCTGCTCCCGCTTCGTGGCCTCAAGCTTCCGCCGTCGCTTCCGCCGCCAGCTCTCCGCCAACTTCCGCCGCTTCCGCCGTCGCTTCCGCCATTTCCGCTAGCTTCCGCTAGCTTCCGCCGCCCCAGGCGGAGGCAGGCGGAAGCTGGCGAGTGCCCGTGAGCCTCCGAGCCTGGCCGCCGTCGATCTGGAAGATCGCCGCGGCCTCCACCTCGCGGGCGCGCAGGCGACGCGCGCCCTGGGCGCCCAGGATTCGCCAGACGCCCTGCACTCCGCCGCGCATGCCCTCGCGGGCCCCTCCTCGGCGACGCGGGCCACCTTGCCGTGCCGCGGGGGGTCCTCGCAGGACTCGAGGCCTGTTTTAGCCTTGGCCTTCGCTCTCTTATTGGAGCCTTTCTCCGCTCGCGCCTTGGCCTTGAACTTCTCGGAGAAGCTCTCGCCCTGGCATTCGGCGCCCTGCCTGTGAGCTTCGCCCCGGCCACGCCTCTGCTCAGGTGCTCGAGCGAGGCCTGGCCGCCAGTCTCGGCCTTCGCGCGCTGCCACTTGCGCCGCAGCTTGCCCTGGATCTGGCGCGAGCATTCCGACGCCCATCTGCTCTTGCGCTTGCAGGTTCGCGCCAGTTTGAGCCAGTTCTCGAAAGCGCGCGGGAACTGGATCTCCTTGATCCGCTCTTCTGGCGTTCTGAGCACGTCCATCTGCTCGTCGGTGAGCTCGGGGTCCAGGTCTCGGAGCTCCCGGGGGCAGGTTTTCCCACCCTGCAAGTAGTCCTTGGGCAAGTCGACGAGGTGGAAGCAGTTCCCGTCGAGGGCGCCCCACTCGGGCGCGGGCGGCACCCCCTCGGGCCACCTCTGCGCGCCCCCCAAGCGCTCGCTCGCCAGCCTCTGCTCGATGCCGCGGCCGGGCTCGACGGAGTAGCTCCACGGCCCCATGCCCGCCACGACCATGAGCTCGCCCTGCTCTGTCGGCCGGACCGCGAGTATTTGGTTCGCTCGTAGCCCTTGGGGCGGCACCGCGCCCTTGTTCTTCTCGCGGAAGCGGGCGTAGGCCTCGGAGACGCAATAGAGGCACTCGTAGGGCGCCCATTGGGTCGGGGACTTGCACTGCTTCTCGGGCTCGGCCTTGGCCTTCTGGATCCAGTCCTGCTCCATGACCCAGTGCATCTCGGCCTTGACCTCTCGGATCATGGCCATGAGCTGGCTGTGCTCGCGGATGCCCCGCACCTACAGGAACCTCGCGGCGTCGGGGGCCATGGGCGCGTAGACCGCGCTCTCGAGCCACGCTCGGAGCGCGACTGCCTCGGCCCACTGGCTCGAGAGCCAGTCTGCGATCACGAGGCTCTGGCCGCGCTGCTGCTTGATGAAATGGATGGCCCAGGAAGCGACGAGCTCGTCCGCCCAGGCCCTGGGCTGCCCCCACGCGTCGATGGCCTCGAAGACCCTCGCGCGTTCCTCCTCGGAGAACTCAAGCAGAGCGTTGCGCCACCCCTTGAGCATTGCTCCCAGGGGCTCGCCTGCTCGGAAGTGCCCCATCTCGCCGTCGCCCCGCTCGTCGGCGACGCCGCGCCGC